AAGAAAAAAGACGAGAGAAACACCCCCCAAAAAAAAAAAAAAAAAAAAAAAAAAAAAAAAGCCAACATAAAATACAGTATCTGAACATATTAGAATAGGCAACTGATAAAACTCAATTTACTGTCCTTTAAAGTTTGTAAAATTGCAAAAAGACAAGACATGATAGTACAGTATTTGCAGAACAGTAATAGGCAGAAGATAATTGTCTCCAGTAGTAATATACCACAATTAAAATAAGTAACACATCTTACTTCCTGACATAATTCCAGGGTCCACAAAGAAAGAACCTCTCAGAATTCAATTTACGTTTTTCAACATGTATCTCGATGAACCAAGATTAACCTTGAATTTATCATTGTTTAAGCTAAATGATGAGTATATGGTAGCCCATTATACTGTCATCTATACTTTTTTGTATGTTTTTAAAATTTCCCATAGTTAAAACAACAACAACAAAACAGCCAGAATGTCAATTTCTGGTTTTAGTGGTATTATTTTGCATCGCATTTCACCTTAACTCTCAATGAATGTCACAGTGCTTTCTTGCAAGAGCCCCTGACCACCATCTCTCTGAACTTCAACATAGCAATTCAACATCATAAACCTTTTAATCCTACTGTTATTCCAAAGCCTCCCCATTTTAAAATTTTTCTCCTCTAAGATAGCACGAGAAATAAACAAGTCTAGTTCCCTATCAATTTCATCTCTACAAAGAAAATTTTAAAGAGCTCTTTGTGATACTCTTTCCTTTCACTTCAAGATTTCTTTGCTAAATGACCTCTGCCCTCTTTACTTCCCCTTTTGTTCTCTACACATTCATCATCAGCTTTATGAGACAGTATTTCTGTAGCAGTCCACTTTATAACCCATATATACACACTGAAATTTCAGTAAGGAGATTTTTCAGCTTCAAGGAAAATAAACATTTAACCAAAGAGAACAAAGGAATTTGTCTTCCTATTTACTGATCAAAGCATCCCTATGTAAAACTGATATTCATCAATATTAAGTACATTTCTTTCTTAAGCACCTGCCCTCTGCTGGGCATTATATTAACAGGTAGGAATAAGATTGCAAAAGCCAGGCATGATGATGCATGCCTGTAATCACAGTGCTTGGGAGATTGAGGCAGGAGGATCACTGTGAGTTTGAGCCCAACCTATGCTACATAATAAATTCAAGGCCAGCCTAAACAATATATTGAGACCCTGCCTCAAAACCAAAATCAAACAAAAAAAATAAGATGGCAAAATAGCTACGGCCTCAAAATAGACTGGGGAAATTTATGACTTTGTGTGGGAGGCCATATTATTCAAATAATCGTCCATGTAAAAGAAATAAATGGAGTGAAGCTATTATTGCAGAAGATAGAGGGTCATAAGAGCATATGTAACAAAAAGGAGGATATTAAAGTAGAGGCTGGAGGTTCATGCAGGGAAGCCTTTCTTATGGATGCAACAGTTACTCAGAGGTAAGGTTATTTTGAATCTCTATTTTAAAATGGGTTAGGAGTTTAATTATGTACCAAGTAGTGAAAATGCAAAAGAGTCTGGAGGGGGCTAGGATGGAACATAGTATTAAAATAGAATCTATTTTCTTAAAAGACAGTTTATAGCACCAAAGAAAAAGGAGAAATGCCTCAGATGTAGTCATTTGGGTGTTGATTCCTTTTATTCATCCATTTAAGAAATATTAATTCAAAATTATTGTGCCCAGGAGCAAAGTTAAAACTAGGGTTAGAGGGAGGCTGAGGAGAGAGATAAGGAATGACATAAATATGATTTAAGATAGTGCCACACTAAGGAACTTACTGTATAGAGAGATAAATAAAGAAATAACCAATTATAATTCTGTATATCAGGAATATGTGTGTAGTAAGGTCATGACCAGGTACTGGAGCTGAGAACAAGAATCCAGACCAGTATTGAATGCTGGATTCAGTATGAGGAAGAAGTGCTGAATGTTTTTTCTCATCCTAGTGTTTGAAATTGTTATGCTAAAAAATTTTCCTCACTAGAGAGTTTAGAATTCTTTTTAAAAACTCACAATGATATGCCTGCCTGGCAAGCTCAAGGTCCTGACTGAGATTCCTAGTTCTGGAGAAAAAAACAAAAATAATAGTGTTTGAACAATTAAACATCAATAGACAAAAAGAGAATAATAGTAAAAACCCACAATGAGTATATGATTAAGTACTCTTTTGAAATGTTATAATTGACCATTACTTGTGTTCCAAATGAAATATAAATCTTATATTTAAAGGAACATTATAGTATATATTTATAATTAAGTAAGCAATATGAATGTCTCAAAAGGATCACAAAATACTGTTCTATAAGAGAAATATCTCTCCTTTTGGGCATCAGCTGTATAAGGGAACCTGGGAAAATGGTCTGTATATTTCCCAGCTTCCTTTTATATTCTGATAGTGATGGAGTTACCTCCATTTTAAGCCTGTATTAGGATATTGAAAGCTTTATTCATCTGACAATGTATCTAAAATTTTGCTTTAGTTTTTAATGTTTTTACTATTAGTATGTTTTTAAACACTAAAAAATTACTAACTCCTTTAATATTTGTCTTCAATGTAATATCAGCTACTATTAAAATATTTTTAATTTTTATAATTTATGTAGATTTCTCCAATGGGTTAGTTTACGTAATGGATAGACTATATAGTGCATTCTTAACTAATTAACAAATAGAATTATGGTTTTAGAATAAATGATCATTATTCATAAAGATTGTAGCAATGATTTATGTATAAAGGCATATATATATATAGAGAGAGAGAGAGAGAAAGAGAGAGAGTGTGTTTCTTCAAGGAAAAAAATGGAGCACAGGCAAGAAAAGGCATGAAACAAAGTAGGGCTATTTTTGAGAATTTCAGAATGTAATTTCTTTTGTTGCATGCCTTTTAATTTTTCCAGCCATTAAACAAACTTCTATTCAAAGTAAGTTTTTATGATAAAAGTTATTTTAAAACTAAGTAAAATAATTTGGGAAGATCATTTATATTGCCGAGTTTGCCCAGTGTTACGAACTATTAGACCACAGCTTCTCAGGGAGCCTTCGTTGCTCATTTAGACAGAGATGTTCACTCTCTTGTGCTCACTTTCTGTTGTACTCTCATTTTTTACTTATAATTTACCCATTTACCTATGTGCTGCCTCCTGAACTGTGAGCCTTTGAAGGTCAAGAAATGTGTCTTATTTGACATTTTATTCCCATGTGTTCACACAGTAAGGGACTTAGGCACCCAGTAATTGTTGCTGCTTAACTTGATAAAGAATTCCTGTTATGCTTTGAAGTAATAACTGAATGACTTTTCTTGCACTTGATTGAATCAGCTAATTCAGTGGATCTTCTGTGTGAGCATTCATCAGAATCACTGAATGTGTGTTAAAACACAGGCTGATGATTGAGTCAACTCACAAGTTTGTGACTGTGGCACAAATGTGTTTCTAATGTGCTTCTGGGTGATGCTTTTGGTCTTGAGACCATGTTTTAGGAACCACTGAATTCAAGAATTACCTTCTAGCAACTCACAAGAAGGTACTAAGTATAACTATCTTTATCTTTCAGGAAAAACGTTAGGTGAAAAAGCTATTACTAGAGCACCTATGAATGGCCACTGTCATATGTGGTAAGGAGACTGGATTTGTAAAGTTTTAAAAAGTCTAATATGCCTCTTTATCTATTGTGTTCGACTTCTAGAACTATGACTGATCATTGATCTTGGTAGCCATAGTCACTGAAAAATGTGTTTAGTAAATAATATAGCAGCTGTTTTTGTTTATTCTGATGTGCTTTTCTCTAGGTGTATTTTAAATGTAATTAAGATAAACTCTCATTGCACTTTTCACAAATGAATCTACCAAATCTAGTGGCTTTGAATATGACAGATTATAATTACATCTACTTTAAGTTACTATTTTGTTTAAAAACATGTGCTAAAGTGATGCCGTATTTCCAAACAAGAGGAAGAAAGAATGTTTCAAATAATAAAAAGCACATTAGCCATTTTCTTCTGATTTGAGGAGTCACATTCCACAAGTCAAAGAAATGCTGGTTACAGAAAAGCTCAAATAAAATGCATTTAATTAGTTGGATGGCAGTAAGTGAATATCCTTGAAAAGAAAAAATATTCATGATTATATTTTGGACCCTTTGTATATTTTAGGACTATAAAAAAAAAGAAATACTTTTAATTATTACTATTCCTTATGGTTATATTTTGACATTTTTATTTAGTTTCTTAGTTTTTTTCCCTCCCTCGCCAGCAGAACAGGTAACTCAAGAGGCTAGGAAGATTCAGTAATAAAATAATTCATGATCATTTCCTCAGTATTAATTTGCATAACATCTACCCTTCTTTGGAATTGTTTTATTCCCCTACAAATCCTCAGGCAAAGATTCCTCTCGTGACAGCTTTCTTTCTACGGGTCCCCATTTGTCCCTCAGGAAAATCGTTTTTTTGTCCACCAAATTCTGAAGTAGAAACTATTTTCCACACAGATCTGTTTCTGTACTCGGTGGTCAGCAGGGGGAGCTCCACTCACAAACTCTCACAACTGAGTCTTAGCAGGAATCCCTTGTTTTCTCCCTCCCTCCCTCTCTCTCTCTCCCCACCCCCAAATATGAAAAAGTCTTTGGAAGTTGCCTTTACTTGGTTTAAAACGACAGCAAGCCTAGCTCCATGTATGTAATAAGGTCTTCTGCTTTTAGGGGCATCTATAATCAACTTGTACGGATCAAGTTATACTTTCTCTGCATCTGCTTTGAAATCGAAGGTGTTTAGGGAGTTGGCTATCCAGATTAGGATGCAGAAGGAGCTTCCATGTTTGGCTCTTAACTCTGTGCTCCCCCTTGCTCTCCTCTTTCCGCCTCTCCTCCTCCCCGTTGCTATCCTTCTGCTGTCCTCTTCTCCCCTTCGTTCATCTATACCCATGAAGAATCGCGTTAAATGGTCTGTTTGATGGTAATTCTCAATTTGAGGAGATTCATCAATGTGATTTTCCAAATTTCATAGAGAAATAATATTAAATCTTCTCTGAGAGTTTTGTAATTATCTTGTAAGCATAGATCATGTGAAGTCCCCCTCAGTAGGCTTCCCAGTCTCTTTCACTTATCTGGCTACTACTTTTTCTTTTCTTTCTTCTTTTTTTCTTTTTTATTGTGAACTAAGGCTTTATTTGTAACAGTGAGATTTAGCTCTGAGATTAAATCTTATTAATATATATATACAAAGTAATGACCCAATTGTGCGTTACATGATTTCTCATTCAGTATCAGTTTTTAATTTTAAAATATTACAATCTTAAAGATTAATAGAAATTTAATAAGTTTGAATGCAATTTAATCTTAATTCTTCAAATTTTTTTTACCTACTTAATACAAAAGTACTCATTATATTCAAAAGTATTCTATATATTCAATTAAATAGTAAAGTTTAAGGTGATGAAAAAGAGAAACTCAAACCTTGAGAAATAATGGGTCAAATTTACATAAACTGATTCCATAATCAATTGCAATAAATGTTAACATAAGATCTTTCTTCTGGAATCTTTTCCAGTATGCTAAGACATTAATAAAACTTCTCTTTCATATAACATGAATGACAAACTATGGCCTTCTGGCCAAATCTGACATCCTGTTTTTGTAAATAAATATTTATTAGAGTACATCTGCTTATGCATCTGTTCATAGCAGAGTTGAAGAATTGTAGAAGAAACCGTTTGGGCCCCAGAGCCTAAAATATTTACTTTCTGGCCCTGGAGCAAAAGCTTACAAACTTGTGGTTCACAGTGATAAGCCTTCACTTTGAAATAAAAGATGTACTCTTAAGAATAATTTTCATGGAGAGTTAATATTTATGGAAAATTTGAAAAATATGATTTAAAATATGTAGTTTCATCTATGTGTTTTCTAGAATGAAATTGCCTTGTAACTTTAAGGCTACATAAGCCTTCTGTAAGATTCTGATGTTTTTATTGTATCCGCCTAACATACTTTTAGAATCAAGAGCATAAAGTCACCAAAGCGTTTGCAAGTTTGTCGGCCAAATAGGGCTGGCTTTAATTACAAATAATGTCTTACATATTTGTTTTGCTCTACTGTTTGCAAATTATATCCACATGTATTACACCCCAGCCTATTTTCTAGATACAATAAGCAAAGCTTAGTGTGTGTGTGTGTGTGTGTGTGTGTGTATGGTGTTGTTGTTGTTGTTGTTGTTGTTGTTAACTAGGGCCACAAAATAAGTGGAAAAGCAAAAACCAGAACTCAAATCCTTTATTCTTATATGCAGTCTTTCTTCTATTATAGCATGCTTTTTTCTGCTTTCTCATTATATAAATAGTGTTGGTACTGAGTAAAAAATACCACAGGGAAACTAATGTTAGTAGTTGTTGAAATGGTAATGCCAATAAGGGTTTATTCAATATCAGTGCAAAGAAAATATAGAACTATTGTCAAAGTATTTACAGTTAGAATGACCTGTAGATGGAGGTAATACACCATATTATGAATTAACTTTCTTCAGAGTTTCCATAACCTGAGTCTTTGAGAAATAAAACGTTGAATTACACTTTTAAATGAACAGTACAAAAAATTAAAATTAAAACAAACAAGTATGTGAAAAAATATAAACTAATTGGAACAAAAGTGATGATCTTTTACTGGAAAGTAGCCAGGTGATCTTTGAATTATGGCATATAGGAAGATAAATAATTTTAATTTAAACAGATTTCATAAAATATGAAAAATGTAAGACTCTAGTTACAGATTGTTTAAACAGAAAAGTTATGTATTTATGTAATAATATTAGTAAATCATGGGATTATGTTTCTGATTTATTTCACTCAGAATAACTTTGAATGTGAGAAGAAACTAAAAGCTTAAAAATGTACATAAGTAGTTCTGATTTTCAGAAAACAGCAGGTTGATCCACCAATATTGTCCACCTGTTCCTTTTATTGTAGCACAGAGTTAATTAGGTTGGTTTATGAATCTTTAGATGAGGAAGTTTAAGTTGACTGACATAGATATTTCTAAAAGTGCAACATAGTTATTTATTTCTCTGCTAGTAGGTAGAATAGGGAAAATGGTGTGGCATGTCTGAAATTAATCAAAACACTGAGGAAAATTCACTTTTAACATCTTTGTAGGCCAAATGTAGAAATGTGAGCAAGCTCATGGGCCCCCATGCTGTCCGGAGGTTATTCAACAGATCATTGTCAACCTGGGGGTGATTCTAGAGCCAAGTCTGTATCTTAGACCCAGTGTGTTCAATAATTTTGTCAGTGAATGAAGACATAGCAGATATGCTTGTAAGAGTTATAATTAACACAACATTAGAAAGGGCCAGTACGTGATGGAGGAACAATATTAATTCAAAATATTTTAACATTTTTAAAAAGATGCTGAACAATATGTGAATTAATAGCAATAAATGTGGAATGCCTAAAAATATTAGAGAAAAACAGATGAGATTTTGAATTAAAATTTGAACTTTATTTTATAATAGTATATTTAACGTGTTCATTATGACAGTTGTATATCACTCTTGGTACAACTCTGACAAATGTCCTGTAGTAATGTAACAGTAGCAAAAACTAGGTGTGGGATATATGGGAATTGTTAGCATATTTTCAAGTTTTCTGTGAATCTAAGACTATCCCAAAAGAAAAATGTACTCAAACAGAAAATTATCTCAGGTTTTAAGTCCAAATAAGTTGGCGAATGATAATGTCCATAACAAAAATAGAGTTTGTGAAGGTAGTTGTGTGAAATTTTGGAAGAATCAGAGTTATTTTACAATCTAGAACTCTTTGAGAGAAATAATATATAACAGAATATCAGAAGGCATTTCAAAAGAATGTAGTAGACAAACTGAATAGAGCTATCTCTGTTTTTAAAATGGAATGAATACTAACTTTCCAAAATCACCAGGCAAACTCTGGTAAACTCTACCACATATTTAAGTTGGTACCACATATACTAACTTTCTACACTCTCTTCCAGAAGATAGAAGCAGAGGGTGTATTTTCCAACTCATTCTGTGAGGCCAGAACTACCCTATTAGGGTATATATGAGGTTATTTTTAAATGACTTTACTGTATTAAAAACTGCCATATAACTTACCATATAATTTACAAACTTACTATGTAATATTCAATACACGTTAGAACATAGAACTATAACCACAATCAAACTTCGGTCATTTTTATTATCCCAAATCAAAGCACTCTACCTACTACCTCTCATCTCCCAATCCCTCCCCCTAAATCTAGGTAACCACTGAACTACCCTTTATCTTCGTAGATTTTCCTATTCTGGAATATTTTTTCAAAATAGACTGTGCTAATAACAACAATAAAAATCTTAATATAGTCAAAGAAATTTAAATCCTGCAAAGTGAGTTCTCGCACAATGTTTGAGTGAAACTAGAGACTGCCAACAGGAACACACAGTACTTAGAATTTGATAGTGTTTTCCAATTTCTAAGTTTGTTGACCGTGTGTTTCCCAGTTTGATTGTGATTAGACTTTTTCTTAGAGTTTCTTTATAACTTTCATGTTGATGATGGCAGTTGTAATGGCAACTGACATTTATCAAAACTTCCTGTGTGCCAGGCACTGTTCAAGCACATTGCATGGCCCACTTTACCCTCACAACATGCATTTGGAATAGAGAGTGTTAGTATCCCCAATTACAGACAAGGAAACTGGCCTTGTGTTAATGGCAAATATTTATTTCTAGGACCCTTGCTTCTATATTAGTGTTTTTGTAAAATATTAATATAAGTTTTAAATGTTATATTTTGGTGGTATTTAATTAAAAATTTACATGATAGGCACTCTCTTTATCTTTTTAGGTATGCAATTTTGTGTGGCTGTGTATCTCAATTTGAGGGCTTACAAAACAAAATCAATTATGGATATCGCTTCAAGGTATTTCTTAAAGTGAGAAATGTTTTAATGTAGCTATATATTTCATTAGCAAGTATGAAACAGGTAAGCACTAAGGATTTTTTATTTTTGTCATTTAAATATTAAGAAATTAAATGGTGCTCCAAATAGTACTGTGACAAAAAGAATGAAACTATCTAGGTAATTAAATGTTATTATTTCAGATCCTGAACCATAGTAGATGAGTGTTATTTTTTCAAAGATTAGCCCTTTGGTCATGGACTCACCAATATTTTACTTACGACTGGGATTGGTTAAAAAATTCTGCATATTGACTTGGTAGGAAGATTAGGATCCAATCTAGAGCTTAAATTTATCATGATAGATGAGCAAAATCAGTAATTCACATAATCCCACTTGCTATTTGCCTCCAATAGTCAATGAATAACTCTTCAGAGTACATAATTGCAGAGAAGAGAGAAGAGTTTCTTTCTTTCTTTCTTTCTTTCTTTCTTTCTTTCTTTCTTTCTTTCTTTTTTTGTACTTGGGATCGAACTCAGGTGGCAACACCTCTGAGCTAAATCTCTGGCCCAAGAAAACAGTTTCTTATTTCCCAACTTCCTATAATCATCCTGGCAGTAACAGAATAGATTCCCATCCCATCTGTCTCTGCTGTTTTATGCTGTATTATACCCTCCTCCAAGCTATCTGATACGTGTAAAGTTACCTTTTCAGCATTCACCAGGCAAGTCTTGAATAGATGAATATTTAACTTGGATGTTTTTAATTTTTGTAATGGCATTTGGCTTTAAATTATACATACTTACTGAATCATAGGCACAGTTTCTGTCCTGTTTGTAAGCAATCATTTTTGATAATTGAATTATTGATAATATTCAATTATATTAATGACACAATTAGTTCAGTGCTCCTGAGACATTGCAAAACCACTTTAGAGATCACTAAGCTTTGGTATGTTTCCATTCAGCAGTATCTGAGACTTGGAAAGTGACTTTTCCTTTGAATTTTTCTTTCAGGAACATCTAGATATAGCAATCCAACTTTTACCTGAAGAACCCTTTTTGTATTACCTCAATGGAAGATACTGTTATACTGTAAGTTGAACGCCTTTATTCATAAATCTTATTTGAATAGACTATGAACATATGATACATATTATTAACATATTACTCTAAGAACATTATAAAATCAGTGTATATTTTTGAAAGTGTGATGTTTATATTATAATTTAATATGAATTTGTAGTTTATAATTTTAAATTTTACAATATCTATAAGCCTATATATATTTTTTTTTTCTTTTGTACCAGGGATTGAACTCGGGTCTTTGTGCTTGCAAGGCAGGCAGCAGAACCACTTAGCTAAATCCCTGGCCCTATAAGCCAATATTTTAAATTACATGCAGTATTATCTGTGTGTGTGTGTGTGTGTGTGTGTACGTAAATGTACACTTTCCCTGGTTCTGTAGAAAAATTTCTTTTCACTTTGCAGTGTTTATTGAAAATAAATGCTGTACTAACTAAGTGGTCAGAAGAAGAACTTCAATTTTCTGGCCACAAAATATCTTAAAATATCATTTGTGTTGTATTCTTTCTATAAGGAATTTGATTTAAAAGGAATATGAGATGTATTGAAAAGCTTAAATAAAGGCAGCTGGTCCGACTAAGACCCAGTGTCTTAAACAGCAGTGTTAGTTTCCAGAAAAATAGCAGGATAGAGAAGTATATCTGAAGAGATACGTTAAAAAGTTACCATGAAAAGGAAATGCTGTTTGTAAATGAGAAAATTAGGATGAGCAAAAGAGGTAACTTTTTCATTAAGCCTGAAAGAGGGTTAGAGATATAGAAAGAAGTTTGCTTTTATTGGACATTGACTATAGAGCACACGTACATTTTATACTTTATATTTCTTCTCACATTTAATTCTTAAAACAGATTGTGAAGCAGTTATTTATTATTATTATTTTTCTAATGTTAAAATAATGTGACTTTTTTGATAAGAACTTTCCGGCCATCCCAGTTAACTAATATGTGAAAGAGCCATCATTGGTACTCAAATTTTCATAATTCCAGAATTTTTCTCTTTCCCTTCTGTCACATAGGAAAGGAACTTAAGTTTTTATAAGGAAAAAAAAGATAAAAGTGATATCATCTGTTTTTCCCATTTTTGTCCTGATTATGAGACTGCCATGTTAAATAATAGAATGATTATAGCACTCAGAATTTTAATTATCTGTTCAAACTTGTAAATACATAGCTATATCTCCATTCTCTGAAACATTGCAGTTGGCTATACCATTCATTTGCTAAGGCTGCACTACCTTCCAAAGGATCACATTTTTCATTTACTATTACTTTTCTGTTAGTGCCAAGTTATCTGAATGATTTGCCTAAGGTCACTCAGCTGTTAAGTAGTAGAACAGGATTCAAACCCAGGTAGTTTGGTTCCAAAGTCATTGCTCTGCACTAGTCTCTCTTCCTACAAATTATAAGTAGAAATGACGGATAGGAATTGTATGAGAAGAAGTTGGAATTCTCAGCTGCATGGGGAATAGTTTTTAGCAAAGGTATTAAAGCAAGAATGAACAAATACAGAGATTGTTTCCAGCGTGTGCAGAGTAGAGAGCTCAAAGCACATTAAACTTCACCTTTAATAAGTTACTTAAGTTACCAAACTTCATTTACATGCTTCAACCTGGAAGAAATCTTGAAACTGTAATGTTAAGTGAAAAAAACACATCACAAAGGAGATAATACAAAGTTCAAAGCCAACCAAAAATAAGCACATCGATATGTAAAGTTACATAGAAATGTTAATTCTTAAAGAATAGAGGATAATGGCTGCCTAGAAAATTTGAGGATGGGATTAAGAAGGAAGACACTTGATGTAGGTGTAGGGTATCAACTGTATTAATCCCCTTTAAGTATTCATTTTGGAATCAGCTTAATCTTTTACAATAAACATCCAACACTGCTCATAATTTAAAAAATGAAAAATGGCAATATGAAACTTAGTTTTGTTGGTTATTGCTTTTTAAAAATCTCCTGGATTGTACACATGTAAAGCAGGCCTTCCCTCTGCACTCTCAAGTTCTGTTTCCATTTCTGAGATGCTGTCTATGATTTAGGAGGCCATTTGGCAGTGCAGGAGGAGAGCCAAGGCCAAATGTACTTGCTGCTCCATGCTGGGCAAAGAAACACTCTGTAGTCATCTCAGAATTATGAATCAGATGAACAAACAGGATTGGCATCGTTCCCCTCTGGTTGTACACAAATCTTATCATGAGTATTTCAAATTGTTTTTTAATCTGACACCTCTGAAGCTGATGGTTTGCTAGAATTATGAAAAAAAAGGAAAAATATTAATGCCATGGGAGTGATAGATCTCATATATTATCTATGGTAAGTATTTTTATTTATATATGTGGTATTTATGTGCACATACACACACACATACCTACACATCTCTCTGAAGGGAGAATCCATCAAAGTTAAATAGCTTCCAAAGAGTGATGGTGCTCTGTATTTGCAGGTCTCAAAACTTAGCTGGATTGAGAAAAAAATGGCTTCTACTCTGTTTGGAAAAATACCATCTTCAACGATACAAGAAGCTCTTCGTAACTTCCTTAAGGTATTTTATGTTGTCTTGGTTACCTTTCTCGTTGCTGAGACAAAATACCCTATACCCCAAGTTACGGGAGGAAAGGTTCATTGTAGTTCACAGTCTGTAGATGGTTCAGTTCATAGTTGGCTAGCTCCGAGGCAGGGTAACATGGCAGAGGGTCATTGCAGAGGAGAAATAGTTCATGGCCAGCAGAAGGCAGCAAAGTAGCAAAGTAGTGAGGAAGCAGCAAATGATGACAGTAGCTCTCTTTCTGTCACCTATATTCTATCCAAACTACAAGCCTTGGGGCAGTAGCACTCATACCCACAGTGGGCCTTCCCATTATCCACACCCATAACTGTGCCAAACCAATCAGTGGACTAATTTAGTAATCACACACCCTTAATCCCAGCATCACAGACTTAATTCCAGCATCATACCCTAGATCCAGTCACCTCTGAAAAGCTCCACCTATGACTGCAAGAGGCTATATCATTTTGTCTATTCATTATTTTCATATCAGACTGAATACCATCTGTGATGGTTCCTGCTACTCTTGTCAAAGAAATATGTCTCTTTTCCATGTGTAGATCTCTAACTGAGACACTCATTTGGATCTTAATTCTGTCATGTTCCATGTTTTTGTTTTTCAGTAGTGGGGTTGAATTCAAGGAGTACTGAGCTACATCTTTAGCCATTTTATTAATTAAAATTTTCCTTGAGACACAGTGTCACTGAGTTGTCCAGGCTGGCCTTAAACTTGTAATCCTCCTGCCTCAGTCTCCTGAGTAGCTGGTATTAGAAGGATATGGCCAACACCTGGCTGGTATGTTCTGTTTTAAGCCTCTAACAATATAATTTATGTTTCAAATCTAAATTTCCTATAACAGCTAGTATGCCCTAGGTCAGTGGTAGAGAACCTTTTAGAGAGAAGTGCCCACCCAAATTGCAACCCAAAACCCACTTACTTATCACAAAATGCCAACACTACAATTAAACCCAAATACTGAAGTTTTAATTTAGAAACAGCAACTCATACATTAACATCTTTTGTCTTAAAAAAAAAAAACACCCATGCCATAGGTTCTCCATCACTGCCTTAGGTCGTAGGAATAACAAGATATTTTTAGGCAGTAGACTTGTTTTATTGGTACCGAAAATTGAATTTAGGACCTTGCTCTGGCAAGGCAGGTGTCAGCACCACTGAGCTAAATCCCCAGGCCCTATAACAAGCTATTAAAAAAATAATTCAGAAGCCTAAATAAAAGTTTCATCATTGCACCTCCTACTACTGATGTGAGAGGAACTCCCCGAGTCAAGTGAGCATGTGCAGAAATAGCGTCAGCCTTATCAGACTTGTTTCGAATAGCGTAGTCATAAGAAACTTAATATAGAACTAATTTAATCCTGCGCTCACGCGCGCGCGCGTGTGTGTGTGTGTGTGTGTGTATGTGTGTGTGTGATACTGGGGATTGAACCCAGGGAGAACTGAGTTATATCCACAGCCTACCCCTACCCCCATTTTTGAGACAGGTTCTCTCTAAATTTCCCAGGCTGGCCTCAAACACCTTGTAAGTCATAAACATTTGTATGGAAGATTCTTGGAGCATCAGATCAAACCAGTATTGTTATTAACTTAAAATATAGTTACTTTGGTAATAAACCTTAAGCGATATGTAGGTGTGCCCACATGTAAGTGTGTAATATATTCCCTTATGCAAACAACTTGTTGATCTAATCCTAGCTCCTTTCTCTGGAACCAATATAAGATGTTATATTTAAAAGCTAAACAACCCTAATCCAAAAATCTGAAGTCTGAAATTTTCCAAAATCTGAAACTCTTGATCATTGTCATATTAGCCCTGAAAAAGTTTTAGATTTTAGAGCATTTGGAATTTAAAATTTTTGCATTAGGAATGTTTGACTGGCAAGTTGAGCCTATGCACATGTTCCAAAAATTTTTTTAAAATGCTCTAAAATCTGAAATGCTTTGGATCTCTCATACTTTGAGCACAGGATGCTCAACATGTGTCATGTGTTTTTTTTCTCACATTTGCTTATTTCAGATTCATAACTATATAGACAAAATCAGGCTGGATCATATTTTCTGATGGTAATATTTATGTTGTCTGTTAGGGATTGATTTTGAAAAACTGAGAGGGAACTTAGAGATCACACAGGTGGCAAATAGACTTCCTCTCCGTTTTGACCTCTGTCTAATGGCCAGTGGTTGGCCTGGAGGACTTTGTTTAAAAATTAGTGTCCTAATATAAAGCACAAGCCCAAAAGAAAAGAATGCAAGAAATAAGATACTAAAGTCCATCCATTTCTTATGTTTTTAATTTAATGTGATTTTTTTTTTTACTTATAAAAGGAGAATCAAGGAACTAATTTGTCTGATCTCACACAACAGATTTGATCTGAGTGAAGTCTAAGCATCCTCTTTTCTTCACTGTTTTTTATTTGTTTGTTTGTTTGTTTGTTTTTGGTAAGGGGGATCGAACTTGGGACCTTGCACTTGTAAAGTAAGTGGTAGAACCACTGAGCTAAATCCCCAGCACTCTTCACTTTTTTTTAATTGATTGAGAATTAATTATTTTGCTTCAAATTCTGTAAAAATATAGATCATGATGTATTTTAGGGAAATGTTTTTTTTGTTGTTATTGTTTTGTTTTGATTTTTTTTTTTTTTTGGCACAAGGGATCAAACTCGGGGCTACTTGCACTTGTGAGGCAGGTGGCAGCACCACTGAGCTAAATCCCCAGCCCGGGAAATGATTTATATAAGAGATACTGAGTGGTTTTTTATAAGGTTAACTTTGGGGCCAGGGATGTCGCTCAATGGTTTTGTCACCTGCCTCACAAGCGCAAGGTCCTGAGTTTGATCCCTAGTGCCAAAAAAAAAAAAAAAAAA